CCTTGTGGACTTGCCGAATTTCCTGAGCCACCTGAGGAAGAAGAGGCACTGTTATGCCTTCTTGATCGTCGCATCTACACGTGAAGTCCCGGACAGATTGTCGGTTATCATCACTCCTAGGAACTTGACACTGGCAACCCTCTCTAACCTCAGTTCCATTGATGTAGATAGGGACGTGTTCGCCTCCTTTCTTTCTGAAATCAATTATCAGTTCTTTTGTTTTGCCGACATGGAGAGAGACGTTGTTGTCATTGCACCTGGCCACCAAACCATCTATCTCTTCCTGTATTCTGACTCATTGTTGTTTCATTTCTGTCCTACCACGGTCACGTCATCAGCAAACCTGTAGATGCCGTTCATTCGGAATTTGGATATACAGTCGTAGGTGTACCAGGAGTACAGTAAGGGGCTAACACACATCCTTGCAGGGGGGGCTCCAGTGTTGAGGGTTATCATGGAGGAAGTGCAGTTGTCTATCTTCACGGATTGACCAATTGCGGACTATGGGTCAGAAAGCTGAGGTTCCAGTTGCAGATGGCAGAGCCGAGACCTAGGTCTCGGAGTTTTGAGATCAGCCTGGAGGGGATAATAGTGTTGAAGGCGGAGCTGTAGTTGATGAGCAAGGCTGTAATATTGGTGCCCCTGTTATTTTCCAGAACACTTCCATTTAGTCTATAGGAATGACTTCAACTTTGCAATTGCTTGCCATTTCAATAAACCACCTGATTCTTTCACTAGCAATTCTGTCCTGAACCTTCTGCAGTGGTCCATCAAAGTGGAAAGCAAGCTTGATGAACAACAGCTCATTTTTCACTTAGGCACTTTACAGCGGTATTGTTTAATTCATTTGCAAGATGTGGGAGACACAGGCTGGCCTGCATTTATTGCCTGACCCTAGTTGCCCTTGAGAAGGTGGTGGTGAGCTGCCACCTCGAACTGTTGCATTCCACTCGCTTTATTGAAAATAACAAATCCAGCTGTGAAAAGCTGTACCATTTACCTGGCAAGCTGGGATACCCATATACCAACATATAAAGCACTTAAAAGGATGCAAGATTGAATTATTTTTAATTCATCAATGCGATGTGGGCACTGCCGACTTGGCCAGCATTTATTGCACATCCCTAGTTGTCCAGAAGATGGTGGTGAGCTGCCTGCTTGAATCGCTGCAGTTCTGTTCAGGAGTTTCAGAATTTTGATTTAGCAACAGTGTAGAAAGGCATTATAGTTTCAAGTCGGATGAGGTGTGATTAGCAAACGACCTTGTAGTTGAACGTGTTTCCGTGAGTCTACTGCCCTTGTCCTTCAAGGGTAGAGGTCACGGATTTGAAAGCTGCTGTTGGAGCAGTCTTGGTGAGTTGCTGCCTGTGTAGTGGTGATGAGGGGAATAAAAAGCGAATTTACTACATTGCCAATAATGGGTTACTTTGTCCTGTATCTTGATGAGCTTTGAGTGTAGTTGGAACTGCACTCATCCATGCAAATGGAGAGTATTCCAACACTCCTGACTCATGTTGTGGAAACGATGGACAGGCATTGAAAAGATGGGAAGTGAGTTATTCACTGGAGAATTTCTAAATGTTGTACCTCCCGATTGGTGAAAACTGCTCTTCTTCATCTATCATGGGATACGGATGCCGCTTTCCTGATCATCCCTACTTAGTCATGAATTGAGTGGGCTTGCTGGGCCATTTCAAAGACCAGTTAAGAGTCAAGCAAATTTCTGTGGTTCTGAAGTCACAAGACTGGGTAAGGATAGAAAATTTCCTTCCCCAAAAGGACATTAGTAAACCAGAAGGGCTTTAATAAAATTCAATGATAATTTTATGGTCACCAGCTGCAAGAGAAAAAAAAGTTAATATTTTGAGTCTGATATGACTCTTCTTCAGGACAAATATCAAAATCAAACAGCTGTCCATCTTCATTGAAATTTCAGGCTTTATATTACATGGGGTGTAAATAGCATTGGATGCCGTTCTTGGCTCATGGGTTCATGTGCTTGCATGAAATTATTGCTTGTGCCCTAATTTTATTAAAAATGGTGTAGAGGAAATGGAGCTATCTCAATATTTTGTGATTATATCTATCTGAAAGATATACTATTTTTCTGCATTTGTTCCATATAAAATATTATGATGCATAGTTAGTGACCAGGTTCAGTAGGGTGTGGTTTCAAAACAGTCTCTGTGGCTTAGTTTTTCCTCAATCATAATGTGGTCTGGAATCAAATCAAAGTTCAAGACATTAAGACAGTTTGCTAATCTAAACCATAGAAACACACAGTGCAGAAAGAGGCCATTCCACCCCAAGCTGATTCTTTGAAAAATACTACCCAGTTAATCCTATTCCTCTGCTCTTTCCCCACTTATTCAATTCTCTGCCTAAAATTATTATTGAATCTGCTTCCATCATGTTTTCAGGCAGCACATTCCAGATCACAACAATTTGCTGTATAAACAAATTCTCCTCACTCACCATTAAATTGGGTCCTCTGGTAGCTGAAAGTAGGAGCAAATTACTGCAGATGCTAGAATCTGTACTGAAAACAACAAATGCTGGAGATCACAACGAGTCAGACAGCATCCATGGAGAGACAGCAAGCTAACGTTGAGTCCAGATGACTCTTCATCAGAGCTGAAGTAAAGTGTGGAGGGTACAGCATTTATGCTATAGTTTGCGGGGAGGCACGGGGGTAGTGCAAGTAGGGTGCTGGTGGAGAAAAGATGTGGATTGTTCAGATTAAGTGATCGGAATCTGAGAATGGCAGAACAATGGTGTGTCTCCAGCCAGACTTGAAAGGGTAGTAACCGGGATGTTGGGAGTGGAGGACATGATAAGAAGCTAAAAGAAAGGGAAGAAATGGTTCACCAATTACAGGTGTTGAACTCAATATTCTCTATATTGAACTCAAGTCCAAAAGGCTGTAAAGTGCCTATTCTGAAGATGAGATGTTGTTGCTCCAGTTTGCGCTGTGATTCACAGGAACACTGCAGTATGTCGAGGGCAGACATGGCCATGCAAGCTGTGTTAAAATGACTGGCTATGGAAAAGTCGGGGTCCTGCGTGTGCACAGACCGGAGGTGTTCCGCAAAGTGGTCACCCAGTCCGCGCTTGGTTTCTCCAGTGTACAGTAGGCTACATAGGGTGCACTGAATACAATACACAAGATTGAAGGAGGTACAGGTGAAATGCTGCTTCACCTGGAAAGACTGTTTAGGCCCTTGGATGGTGAGCAGGGAAGAGGTGAAAGAAAGTGTTGCACCTTCTGCAGTTACATGGGAAGGTGCCGCAGAGAGGGGGGATGGTGTTGGTGGTTGTGGAATGGGGTAGGGTGTCCCAGATGGAACGATCCCTGCGAAATGCAGAAGGGGGAGCGAGGGGAAGATGTGTTTGCTGGTGGCGTTCAGCAGGAGTTGTCTTAAATGACAGAGAATGATCCTTTGAATGCAGAGGCTTGTGGGATGAAAAGTGAGGACAAGGGGAACCCGATTACGCTATTGAGAGTGATGGGAAAGGGCGAGGATGGAAGCATAGGTGTTAAGTCGGACGGGTTTGAGGGCCCTATTAATCACAGAGCATGGGAAACCACAGTCATCGAAGAAGCAAGCCAGGTCAGCAGCGCTGTTTTGGAAGATGGCATCATTCGAAAAGATGCAATGTAGGCAAAGGAACTGGGAGAATAGGATGGAGTCCTTGCAGCATGTGGGGTGTGACAAGCTGTAGTGAAGGTAGCCTCAGGAATCAGTGGCTTTGCAATGGATGGCAGTTTATTCCCTGAAATGGAGACAGATCTGAACATCAAGCCATTGTTGCCAGGAATGTCACCGATCTCATTACCTCTGGAGATCTTCCCTGCACAGCCACCCACCCCCACCCCCACCCCTGCCTCCCACCTAGTCGTCTCCCAACTCCGGATAGCGCACTTCTACCTCCTTCCCAAAGTCCACGAGCCAGACAGAGCCAGTAGGCCCAAAGAACCAGCCTGTTCCCGCCTCACTGAGTTCATTTCCTCCTACTTTGACACCATCCTCTCTCCACTTGTGCCCTGCCCACCTACGTCTGCAATTCCTCTCATGCTCTCCACCATATTGACAATTTCCAGTTCCCTGGCCCTAACTTCCTCCTGTTTACCAAGGATGTCCAATTTCTCTATAACTTCATTCCCCACCAGGAAAGTCTGAGAGCTCTCGGCTTCTTCGTCAACCAGAGGCCTGAACAATCCCCGTCCACAACCACTCTCCTCCGCGTGGTTGAACTTGTTCTCTCACTGAATTATTTCTCCTTTAATTCATCTCACTTCTGCCAAGTCAAAGGAGTGGCTATGGGCACCTGCATGGGGCACAGTTATGCATACTTCTTTTTGGGGTATGTGGAACGATCCTTATTCCAGTCTTACACTGACCCCGTCCCACAACTCTTTTCTCGATACATCAACAACTGCTTTGGTGCCACTTCGTGCTCCCACCAAGACCTTGAAAATTTCATTCATCTTGCCTCCAATTTCCACTCCTCTATAACTTTTAGATCGCCCATTTCCAAGACTTCTCTTCCTTTCCTTTATCTCTCTGTCTCCACTTCAGGGAATAAACTATTCACTGCCATCCAATACAAAGCCACTGATTCCCATAGCTATCTTCACTACAGCTTGTCACAGCCCCCATCCTGCAAGGACTCTATCCCATTTTCCCAGAGATAAAGAAATGCTGGGAGTTTGAAGTGGAAGAGTTGGAGATGGTAATAGGAGTGCTGATAGAGTTGAAGTAAAGTAGGATGGGATGGAACAGCGAGAAGCATGAATATTATCAATGACAGCTGAATGGGCTGCTTCTGTGTTGTAAATTCAATGGAATTCGTCAAAAGACCTTCTATTAAAAGGCTCTATCATTCACTCTACGTTTTTGTTTTGATAACAATTCTAATTAAAAAGTTGCAATGAACTACTGAGAAAGAATATATTTAAACTGTTCTTTGATGAAATATAAAAATAATTATCAGTGAACCTGAGTGACCAGTTTGGGGAGTACGAAGTTTGCAGGGGGGTCTTGCATTGCGACTGCTGCTGGTAGTGGACGCAGGCGTCTTCCCTATTCTGGTATCATCATAACCCTTCAGTGAAGAACTGCTCTGTGCCGAGGCGGACGGAAACAGGTTTTGGTTCCCTATGTTAGAACTTTTATCACCAAAATATGATTCTGCCAAAACAAACATCAAGATGGATTGTAATGAATAAAATATCTACTAACTTGAAGTAAATTTTTTTTTCTTTATTCATTGATGGGATGAGGGCGTTGCTGACCAGGCAGCATTTATTGCCCACCCCTAACTGCCCAGAGGGAAGTTATGAGGCAACCACATTGTTGTGGGTCTGGAGTCACGTGTAGGCCAGACCAGGTAAGGATGGCAGTTTCCTTCCCTGAAGGACATTAGTGAACCAGATGGATTTTTCCGACAATCGACAATGGATTCACGGTCATCATTAAATTCCTAATTCCAGATATTTTATTGAATTCAAATTCCACCATCTGCCATGGTGGGATTCGAACCTGGGATTCCAGAACGTTATCTGGGTCTCCGGATTAACAATCCAGCGATAATGTCACTAGGCCATCACCTCCCTTTTGCAGCCATAGAGGTCTATGGTACAATAAAAGCCCTTCAGCGGATCAATCAAGGCCTTTTTCCTAGGATAGGTGAGTCTAAAACCAGAAGGCATAGGTTTAAGGTGAGAGGGGAAAGATTCAAAAAGGACCTGAGGGTTAACTCTTTCGTGCAACAGGTGGTGTGTGGTTGGAACGATCTGCCAGAGGAGATGCTGGAAGTTGGTAATATTACAACATTTAAAAGGCATATGGATGGGTACATGAATAGCAAGGGTTTAGAGGGATATGGGCCAAAAGCTAGCAAATGGGACTACGTCAGATTAGGTATCTGGTCAGCGCAGACTAGTAAACTAAAGGGTCTGTTTCCATGCTGTATGATTCTAAGTCTACACCAGTCAAAAACAAGTACATAACTATTCTAATCCCATTATCCAGCACTTGGTCCATAGCTTTACATGCTTTGACATCACAAACGTGCACCTGAATACTCCTAAAATGTTATGAGTGTTTCTGCCTCTACCTTCTTTACAGGCAGTGAGTTCCAGATTACCACCATTCACTTGGTGAAAAAATTTCCTCTAAACCTCCCGCACCTTGCTTTAAATCTATGCCCCTGATCACTGATCCCTCCAACAAGGGAAAACTTTCTTCTGGTCCACTATGTCCATGCCCCTCAAAATTTTATACATCTCAGTCATGCCCCCATTCTTGCTCCTCTGCTCCAATAAAAACAATTTCAGTCTATCCAATTCCTCTTCAAAACTAAAATTCTCCAACCCAGGCAACAACTTGGTCAGTCTTTTCTGCAATCACATCCCTCCCATAGTGTGGATTCCACAGTTGCACACAATACTCTAGCTTAACCAACTTTTTCAGCATTATCAAGTGTCCATAGGCTTTCTTAACCACTTTATGTTCCTGTCCTGCTACCTTAAGGGACCAGTGGAAATGCACACTCAGGTTCCTCTGATCCTTGGTGCTCCCCAGGGTCCTACATTGTTCATGTATTTGCTTGCCTGGTTTGTCCTGCCTAAGTGTATCACTTCACACTTATGCAGACTGAATTCCATTTGCCACTGATCAGCCCATTTATTTCCTCTAAGGCTATCTTTATCACCCCACCAATTTTTGTATCATCTGCAAACTTTAAACCATTTATATATTCCATAAGAGACCTAATACTGATCCCTGCTGATCCCCACTTGACATGGGCTTCCAGTCACGACAAGAACCCTCAACCACCAACTTCTGCTTTCTACCATTCAGCCAATTCTGGATCTAATTAGCCACTGGGCTTTATTAAAAGCTTTGCTGAAGTTCTTAATAAATGCGGCTATCAATGGCAAGGTCAACATTTGTTGCCCATCTTTAACTGCCCTAGACAGCACAATGAAGAGTCAAACACATTGATGTGCATTTGAAGTCACATGTAGAAAATTGGTGACAGATCTTCTTCCCTGAAAGATACAACTGAACCAGGATGGTATTAACAACAATTGATGACTGTCACCATTGTCATCAATGACACTATTTTTATAGATTTTATCATCAAATTTTAAATTTCACTAACTGCCATGGTTGAGTTTGAAGCCATAACCTGACAATATTAATCTGGCCTGCACTACCATTTTCCCCAATCTAAGGGCTTTTAACAAAACTGAAAGATCCATAAGACCCTGAGAGGTGCAAAATCAAATGAAGTCATAGAGTGTCATGGAGTATTTTTACAGCACAGAAAGATGCCCTTTAGCCCATTATGTCCATGCCAATCATTAAACATCCATCTACCCTAATTCCGTTTTCCATTACTTGGCCCGTAGCTTTGTATGCTGTGGCAATTCAAGTGCTCATCTAAATAGTTCTTAAAATGTCTTAAGGGCTCCTACCTCTACCATACTTTCACGCAATGAGTTCCAGATAACCACAACCTTCTGGGTGAAAAAAAAAGGTTCCTCAAATCTCCTCTAAACTTCCTGCTCCTTACTTTAAAAACTCTGCCGCCTGGCATTGACCCTTAACGAAGGATTAAATTTTCTCCCTTTCTACCTTATCTATGACCCCATAAAAATTTAAACCAAACTACAAGAACTACAAGTAGTTCTGCTATAACGTGTGTTTCGTTAACACAAATTGGCCATCACGCAATTACATGTTCAAGTAAGCCAACAATCCCCACTGCTATTGTAAAATGACATTTTTTATTAAAAATATAGTTATAAACTTCAGTTTTAAAAACATAAGAATTTTAGGCATTCCAAAATGTTAGTGTCTTTTTCAAAGTTGAAACCAAATTACTATGAAGGTTTGCTGGGCTCACAAGCCATGTCATTTCCTCGCCGATGTGAGTGAAACATGTAGACTGTTTTACTGAGGTGTTAAATAATTCTAATTCTGACAATTTGGGTTTCTTCCATGCCACATTTGGTGGTCCTCTCAGCTTACCTGCATATATTTGAGAGGTTATTACAGTTAAACCTCTGTAGGTCAATGATTAGACCACAGATGGAATATTAGATTTTGTTCCAATTCTGGACACCACACTCAGAAGGATGCTGAAGCTGTGGAGGGAGTATAAAGATTTATCACGATGATTCTTGGGGTGCATGACTTCAGGTACATGGAGACACTGAAGAAACCGGGATTGTTCTTCGTGCACAAACAGCAGTGGAATAATGATCATGTTGAATGAGGAATAAACTTAACATCTTGTCAAATTTTTAATTCCGTTGCTTTTCTTTGAAACAGTGCCATGGAATCGTTTGCATCCACCTAACAGGGCAGACTGAGATTGTGAACGAAAATATTTCCAGTAGCATGCAGTGGTGCATTTCTTCAAATAACCATTGCTTCTTTTACCGAAATGCTTAAATCAGTGTCCTGTTTCTTGATCCAACAGGTTTCTCTATCTTTTGTCCATACTCTTCCTAGTTTTGAATGCCTCTATCAGATCTCCTTTTAATCTTCTCCAAGGATAAGGAAGATGTTGTTAAACTTGAAAGGACTCCGAAAGGATTTACAAGATTTTTGCCCAGGGTCAGAGGGTTTGAGATATGGGGGAGGCTGAATAAGCTGGGGCTTTTTCCCCTGGAGTGTCAGAGGCTGAGGGGTGACCTTAGAGAGGTTCATAAAATCATGAGCAGCATGAATAGGGTGGACAGCCAAGGCTTTTTCTCCAGGATAGAGGAGTCCAAAACTAGTGGGCTTTCGGTTAAGGAGAGAGGGGAAAGATTTAAAAAGGAACCCCAGGAGTAATTTTTTCATGTACAGGGCGGTGAGCATATAGAACAAGCTGCCAGGGGTGGTGGTGGTGGTGGCAGGTACAATTACAACATTTAAAAGGCATCTGGATGGGTACATGAATAGGAAGGATTGAGAAAGATATGGGCCAAATGCTGGCATACAGGATAAGATCAGTCTATGATATCTGATCAGCATGGGTGCGTCAGACTGAAGGGTCTGTTTCCATGCTGTATGACTCTATGGTTTCAATGAGGAGTTAGGTATAGCTCCTAATGCAAAATGGCTTACTAATGTCCTTTAAGGAAGGAAACTGCCAACCTTACCTGGTCTGGCCTACATACGACTCCAGACCCATGTGGTTGACTCTTAACTGCCCGCTGGGCCATTAGGGATGGGTAATAGTCCCTGACTAGCCAGGGACACCCTAAACCTGTCAATGAATTAAAAAGAGAGATTAAAGGGCATAGGGAGAAAGTGGGGACAAGGTATTATGTTGGATGATCATCCATGTTTGTAACGAATGGCAGAGTGGAACAGACAGCTGAATGGCCCACTCCTGCTCCTAATTTCAACATTTAAGTGAGTGGGCTTAATCTTTAGCCAAGGGAATATAATCGAAATGTGCACTTGTCTCCTTTGATGGGGAGAAATAGAACAGCAGTGCATTACTGAAATGGAATGAAGCTGAACTCAGCGGGATCCTGCTTCAGGGGATGGGAGGACATGTCGAAGATTCACATCCTGACGACACGAGGACGCACGTGACTCGGGTGTTGAGGGGAGGCTCTTTGACCTCTCCCAGCCACGAACTCAACGCACGCGCAGCGCACCCGCCCCCCCCCCCCCCCCCCCCCCAGAGCGAGCCGCGCGTCCCCGCCGCACTCACCTCGGCTCAGGCCACCGTTGCCGCACGAGCCACCGCTCGGTGTGAAGCCGCTGGGAGCTTGGTGACCGCGAGACGGCTCCGAGGCCGAGCCTGAAGCCGGCCTCCCCGTAGAAGAGCTAGCGCTTCGGTCTCCCCCGGCGCTGCGGGGTGTCTCCAGCAACCCGAAGGCATATCGCGGAGGGCGGGCAAGGGTGGTGGTGGTGGTGCTGCTGGCGGCGGCCGGCTGCGGGTCCTGAAACATCGAGCAGCGACCAAGATGGCGCTGGATTCCTGCTGCTTCTCCCGCCTTGTGGAAGTGCGGAGGTGGCACCACGTGACCATTTACTCGGCGCATGCGCGCGGAGGGAGCGCGGGTAGATACACTCGAAGGAAGCACGTGTTCTGTAGGGTAGCGCAGTGTCTCAGTGATAGTATCAGTGGGTTATTAACCAAGAGGCACAAAAAAGAGAAATTGCTGGAGAAACTCAGCAGGTCTGGCAGCA